GGTGACCCACTGGCCTGCCGAAGCATTAAGATGATATACTACACCGGGAGCTAGAGTGGGGTCGTACGTTACCACGTGAAGAAGTGAGAAGAGGTGGACAGCCCGACGTTTCGAGTGCTGGTATCTGGACGGGGTTAACATACATGATGTGAAGGGCTCCTGTCCTTACGACCGCCATCATGACATGAGACAGAATCGCCGAGCGATCTGCGAGCTCAAACGGGGACAGCACCTGCTCGCGAGTGACCACACTCCAACCTATACGTCACAACAAACTTGTACATCACGACGATAGCAATAGGAATAGCTAAATGGGGAAGCAACAGGGAGTATCCGATATGACACAAAATCTAACGGAGCGGAGCGGAAGTGGCACGCGATAGCAGCAGCACGTACATGTACAGAGGTATGTCATAGAACAACGCAAGATCAGACGACACACGAGACGACAGACAGCACTAATCGTACAACACAGCGAGCGGAAATATAACCAAGCCAGACAAGATAACGAGACACAAGGCAAGAGAACACATACGCATCTCTACGTTCGTGCACATACTTCTCCGAAAGGAAGATGCCCCAGCCGTCACAGCCGAAGAGCTTCCCAAGTCGAAGATGCACGCGCGACGCCTCCCATCCAAGAGCCGCATAAGGCCCCCGCCGAGTCAAACACCAATATCGAGCGTACAGCGCTCTCGCTGGAAGCTCGCGGTCGGGGTTTGACACGAGAGTCCCTATGGGACTGGTGCGCGCGATCGGCGACTGGCGCCTGCAGCGCCACAATGAGCCGGTGCTCGAGAACACTCCGAGAAGAACGCGAGGATACGCACCAGGACGGGCCACTCACGCGATCAGTCCTTGCTCGACACGCTACCTTCCTTCTTGACCTCTGGGTTGGCGAAGAGCCTGCGACGGGGTGATCCAAGGTTCGTGTGTTTACTCTGGAAATGACGCTTGAGGTCGTGCTTGCGGGCGAATGACTTCCCGCAGTCCGGGTGTTCGCAGGAAAAGTTACGTTCATTGAAGTGAACAGCTTTGACGTGTTCCGTGAGGTTATGTGTCCTCGCAAACACTGGTACACTCCTGAGCGCCAGCACACCAGTACGAGAAGAGGACCATGCTCACCGGCGCCGCAAGTCTTGCATTGGTACCTGGGAGTCGTGTCCTGCTTTCGTGTGCGCTTCGTCGGCTTCTCCTCATAGCTCAGGTCCTCGCCAGCACTTGAACCATCGTCGCTAGAATCGCGTTTGGCAACGCGTCGCGCCGTAGCGAGCTTCACTTCCGTCTGCTCGATGTGCACGACCGCCTTCGCGTCGGGGCACTGCGGACCCTGGATCGTAAGGGGAGCCGCAGGGAATGTGAAGGTGACCGCAGGTGATGCCTTGGTCACAGCCACATATGCCTCTGGCTCAGGAAGAGGGAGACTATGAGCGTCTGCCGCGCCCATAACAGGCGGCGGCAGAGGCTCGCAGCCGGCGAATATGTTGGAGGCCGCTGACCAGGAAGATGCACTGGGAAGCGCGAGCCCACGTACATCTGCATTGTGATCGAGGGATGTGCTGTGATCATGGGTGTGTGCAGGAGGTTCCGCGTCGCTGAGAGACGCGCAGCGAGGATAAAAGCCAGATGTCGTCGCGGAGAGGGGCGAGCCAACCATGGTCGCCTCGGACAGCGGGGACTGGGGGATCGCGAGAGGCTCGAGGGATGGGCGATAGGCGTCGCTCATGAGAATAGATGGATGGGAAGGGTTGTGATGCTCGAATATTTTGGTCCAGTCGGCGTCGCCGAAGGGGTCAAGGAATAAGTCGTAGGAGGGTGCGGTGTGAACGTCGTCGTTGAATTGCTGTGTACAGGTCGATCCTTGCGCGTCGTTGAAATTGAATGGCGCTGAGCCTTCGACAAAACTTGAAGGGTCGTGAGAGCGCAGGAAGTCATGATGAGATCCAAGCAGCGTGGCATAGAAATCGCCGGAGTCCATAGCGAGGAAGAGGAAGGGGTACAGAGCGATCGCGAGGGAGGTTGGAAACCGAGAGGAGGGGGGAAACTGAACCAGGTCCCAGCACTTACGGTATAGTCCGGCGCTACAGGTTCTGCGGCGTACTGCAGCACGCAGCTTCTACTTCTTGGGCGCAGTAGATAATCCAGCCTCGAGGTCATACCTAGGAAAAAGAAGGCATCCAGCAAACCTTGTAACCCTCTGCATGTGCCCGAGGATCCTCGTCAGAACACGCGCACGGGCCGTGAGCGATTACGTACGTAAGTCAGAACGACCAATCCCTGAAGGAACGAGGAGTTAGAAAACGGAATCAATGGTCGCTCGGTCAATCCGGAAAGTACATGGGGGTCGCGAGTACGGCTGCGAAGACCATAGGCAGTGAACGAACATACAATGCATCTAAAATGAGAGAAGCACTCACTTGCGGAAAATCATCCGATCGCCACCTCAGCGATCTCGTCAGGCACCGTCACGGAAGAGGCGCTCCTCGCCACGTTGAATGTATAACACGAACATTTCCTTGCCCTTTCTAACATTTCCTTGCCCTTTCTAACAATTCCTTGCCCTTTCTAACATTTCCTTGCCCTTTCTTAAATAATGGAAGTAACAGAGGTGGATGGCTCGCACACGAGGGGATAGAGATGGTAGACGTAGTGGATCAAGGGCCAGAATCTGAACATCGGCGCCTAAAGCGCAGAGTCATGATAGAACGAAGACACATGCGAGATCGATTCAGCTGAAACAGACTTTAAGTGATAAAATATGCCTTCATGTCTTGCAATCTACCGCACCAGGTTACGAAGGAAGGAGATACCGAACGAAGGAATGTGTCGTGCTGATTCTTCCTCCTGAACGTCTTAGGTCTTCCTCGTGGCCCCCAGAGCAATTCTGCTAATTAGCAGAATCGCTCTGGGGGTCACGATATAAACTGCACATAGGTTGGCCCGAATGCGGTCATGGGCTGAGTTGGTCGCCTTCCACATCGGCCCAGAGGGAGAACTCAAGACCTGCGCAGAAGGCGATCACGACGGTAAGGAGAGGTCCTTTCCTGGCTCCTTCCTACACGTCCGTAGTGCCAGCTAATCAAGCCTTTGGCGGAAGAGAAACATAGCTACTGATTACCTTTTCGGCGGTAGAAGGAGTAGGTCGCAGTTGGCGCTTCGAGACTGCCTCTCTACGCTATCACGAGAGCACTTCAAATTGCGATGAGAATCGCTCACTGCCTGGGATCCCGAAGTCTCCTTCGAATCACGGAATCGCCCGAAGTCTCCTTCGGGTCACGGAATCGCGTGGGACAGGTTGGGCTCGCTTTCCGTGAGTAAGTAGCCTACAACGAGGTATGTAAACCTCCGGGATATCGGGCCACGGAGGTATGAGACCTCCCAGTCACGCATATGATTGGCTGTCAACCTGGGACATCAATACAGGCGCATCAGATTTTGATAGCTAGAATGGTGTACGTACTTGAGGCGACTTCGAGGAGCTCGAATAAACACCATACTCCCTCTGAGGAGGTCGCAGTAATTGACGAGGAAGCATTTGTCCAACAAATGCAAAGTGTTGTGCAGGCGTGGCAGGTGAGGAGGGTGGGGCCGCGCGATGCAAAAGACCACCGACGCAGTCACCATTCGCGCGATAAATACAGACGGGCTCCCCGCTTGGGATAGGAGGAGTGCCTAACCCAAACCCAGGGCCCAAACCCTAACCGAACCCAAACCCGAACCCGAGCCCAAGCCCTAACCCTAACCTAACCCTAACCGAAACTCTAACCGACGTGTATCACTAAGACCGCGTGGGTTGAGAGGTTTGATACCTCCCTGGCCCGATATCCCAGAGGTTTGCATACCTCGTTGTAGTCTCTACTTTCCGTCGCTCTTTCGGAGTTGGTGGACTCAATGGCCACTGATAAACGACGTCACGTCCCTAATAAGGCAGATGGCAGCCGCAAACCACCTCATCACACCTCCGGCATCTCAATATCTGTGAAGGTATGTCCGGCATCTCTAGGTCTCGATCTCACGAGGTTGTGTCCACGACACAGTCGGACTGGCTATTTAAGAACACGCTGCGGTGGTTGAACGTTGAACGTTGACTTTCGACATGAACCGAGAAGCGGCTCGCCAGCCACCACAGACACGAATACAAAGAGCCGGTCGTTACACTCGTCTCACCTCAGTCATCACAAGCATCACATACCAAGCATCATACACCTGTCTTCGGCAGGATCGTCAGTGGTAGTCGGGGGTTGGTGGGTTGACGAAATACGGGAACATTGCGAAAAGCCCCGGACGCGTATTTCTGTCGCTCGGCACAAAACAAGTGCATGACACAATGATCTTGGCAAATCTGACATCGATATCCATGTAGACATTGCAAGACAGGTCACAATGTAACTAGAACCTCTTCCATCAGAGGGATCGCGGTCGACTCGATATACAACATACATCGACCGAGCATCGCGCGTCGCATTCCTGAGCTAGAATATGTAAAAAAGAGGCAAATACGTCGAGTTCCAATGGCGGCGCTTAGGTGAAAGAAACCAACCCCACACAACGCCCACGCAGCCTGCTCCCCCCTCGATCGCAGCGCATAACATCGCTGCTCGCTCCGCAGCACCTCCAGCTTAGAGCCTGCTTGGCTTTTTGGGACACAGCGTCAGATTCAGCTGCTCGGGCCTGCTCGCCAGAAACTGATACTAGGCACCGAAAACCGGCTAGTAAAACCGTTCTTTGCGCTTGATGTAAATGAACCATTCAGGAGATGGACTTAATGTGTCCCTCTGGCTCTCCGCCGACCCAGACACTGCAATGGCAACATGGCCTGCGACCATCACACAGTCGAACCGCTGCCCGTTGTCGTCCAGCAGTACGTCCACCTCACAAAACCCTTCCGCCATCTGCGTCTGCGAGAGCGCGGGGTAGGAGATTCCGTCTAGCACGTAGCGTCGCTCGAGTTTGTCTTTATCCCCTAATCAGCATCCAATGATCAGCAGCAGAACAGCCAGGATTGGCCGTGGCGGCGTACTTGGTGACAGCTTCTCCCTCTCCTCAGCATCCGGAACCTCTCTGGGATTCGTGACCTCCTCCAATGGCCGCCCTTGCCACCGCCCTTGACAGTTCCACACTGAGAGCGCCGTAATCCACCCGCTCATATCTTCTGGCCCGTAGTAATTCGGGTGCGCATGCGCGACGTTCCCCCAGAACTCCACATCTGGCTTTCCGTCGAACGCCTTAACAAAGCGCTCCAGGATCGGCCGGAGCATGCGCGTCCACGCCGCCGGCTCCGCCCCCATAGCGGTCGGATGTCACCCTATCGAGGAGCTTCTGCCAGTCTGCGCGCTCGCCCTCGAGCGTGACCGAGGGGATGCCGCATATGCACATTATCTCGTAGTGGAAGCACGACTCGAGCGAGGACATCAAGAGCACTGCGCAGATCGTCTTGTCCTTGACCGTCGTCGTCGTAAAGTCGGGCAGGATCCAGTCGACGAGCTTCGGATCGACAACGCTGTTCTGGATGTGGCGCGTCATCTGGCGTGCGAGGCTCCCGAAGTCGACCGTGTACTAGCGCGTGCCGGCCGCGGGGACGGTGAGGAGCTTCCTGGCTCCGTGCGCGACGAAGTGCGAGCGGAGCTCTTCTGCGTGCGTGTTCACGTAGAAGTTGAGCTGGCTGAGGAAGGATATCCACACGTCATCAGGTCTGTCGCTCGGCCGGAGTCAGCACGCGCTTAGTGCGCAATATGGGGACGAGGGCAGACGCACCTGATCACCAAATGGTGATGTCTCTTGTAAGCTGTCAGGACGACCTCGACGAACCCATTGCCCCGCGCGGGCTCGAGTTCTGGAAGGTCTTCGGGTGCGATGGATGTCTGGAGCAGCTCTTGGCACTGTCGCCATTGTGCAAATGCGGCGACCTGGAGGGGTCTCTCCGCACCCGTAGTTTTGACCGGAAAAGGGGTCCATGGAAACTCCTCCGCTGCGTGTTTCGCGACCTTAAAGGTGACCGGCATCCTGTCGTCGCTGTCTTGGAAGTAGCTACGAGAGCATGGGAGCGCGGTCGAGACCGAAGCAGATCGATTGAGGGCGCCTATTCATATCAGATGCTCGAGTCGTGGCAAACAATATCGACTTGTCAACCTTGAGCTTGCACCTGGGAAGTCCCGCCTGGATTGTCAGAGAGGCACGCAGCCAAGGTTTATGTGCCTGTGAGCGCTGTAATCGTCGTGCCTATCCTGGCAGAGAAGCACGTCCAAGGAGCAGGGCGTCGTGCACCGCAGAT